CTGGCAGCGCATGGACGCTCTCGAATTGCGCTGGGGGGGCTTATTAACACATGCCTTTCGCGGCGCTGACTAATCCCGCTGACTCCACTCGTCTGCCCCTTCACTCCTCCCACAGCTCCCCGGTCAACCGTTTTGTTGAGGGCGTTTCCGCTTGGCAGCCACACTCCGCGTCCGCGAGTGGAGGCGCGATGGAGCTGTGACATACGTGGCCAGGCTACGATAACGATGGGCGTGGAGTCGAGGGCGTTAGGGTTTGCGGTGGCTCGGGGCTAGTAGGGTTTTGCTGGCTCGGCTGGGTTAGAGGCGCTGGACGGGGAGCTGGATGGGGCAGTTGTGGATTTCGTCGTCGATGGGAGGATAAGAGCAAAGGAGAGCAGAGATCGAGACATTACTTATGTTCTGCCTGCACCTCCGTACGTCGCACTGGATGGATGGACGTTGTTCAACTTCGTTCATCGTGCACCTGTCCTTGCCTCAATCCCCCTTTCATCCCATCTCCACGCACCCCCTTCGCAACAAATCCACCCAGCCGGGCCGCGATCAGCAGGCACCGGGCAGCGTTCTAATAGTGTTGAGCCTGCGGCCGTGGCGCGCCAGGGTGTGGTCGCGCTAACGCAGGGCCTGCTGCTGGGCGGGCCCAGACCCTGCGCGTGGTTGGCGGAGTTTCTTGTGACCTGTGGGCGACTTTAACTTTATTTCTGGGGCGAAAAAGTTGCGGCGCTAGCGGGAGGTTGACACGACCACACTTGCACGTCGCCGCGGACGACGGGAGGGGAGTTGCGGGCAGTGCCAGTCGCAGAGTTTGCCTTCACGACGGACGGGCAATTAATAAACGGAGTGAGGCGACTGGGTGGACGAGGAGGACAGGACTGCCCAGGCGTGCTGAGACGGTGTGTCTATGTACGACGCTGCGTGTGTGGGCTTTCCTCGTCGGCGTCCGTTGCGCTGTGACTTCTCTGGGCGGTCCGTGCCAGCAATTTCCACCGCAGTCCAGGACAGGACAGGAGCAGCGCGCGCTGTGACTACGTTTCTGCTTGCAACTGCGGAGCCCCTTGGTCCCAACAGAGCCAGCCAGCCCACGTGACCGCCGCCCCCCATCCAGCCCAAAAAATCTCTTTATTCAGTCCACGGCCGGCTGCTCTCTTCTCTCTCCCGCACACCACTCCCTCACCACCACACCACACTCCCTCCACAGTCAGCCCGCCAACACCATGGCCAGCGCCGACCCGATTCTCGCAGCCCCCCCGCCGTCTGAGGCCACGTCGACGTGCACGTCGCGCGCCCCGTCGCCGAAGCTGCCCGCTGAGAAGCCGGCGGAGACGAAGATGGTCGACACGTACGGCAACCCGTTCACGCTGCCCGACTACACCATCAAGCAGATCCGCGACGCCATTCCCGCGCACTGCTACGAGCGGTCGGCCCTGCGGGGATACGGCTATGTTGCCCGTGACATCTTCCTGATCACGACGACCTTCTACGTGTTCAACCGCTTCGTGACCCCCGAGACGGTGCCGTCGTACGCGGCCCGCTTCGCCCTCTGGACGCTGTACACCGTGCTACAGGGCATGTTCGGCACCGGCATCTGGATCCTGGCGCACGAGTGCGGGCACCAGGCGTTCTCAACCTCCAAGATCATCAACGACGCCACGGGCTGGGTGCTGCACTCCGCGCTCCTCGTCCCCTACTTCAGCTGGAAGATCTCGCACGGCAAGCACCACAAGGCCACCGGCAACCTGGCCAAGGACATGGCGTACGTGCCGCAGAGCCGCGAGGTGTACGCCAGCGGCCGCGGCCAGCTCGCGCACCAACTTTCCGAGCTCGCAGACGACACGCCGATCAAAACCGCGCTGTTCCTGATCTTCCGCCAGCTCGTCGGCTGGCAGTTGTACCTGATGCAGAACACGTCCGGCCACAACAACCACGAGATCCAGCCCGAGGGCCGCGGCAAGGGCAAGCGCAACGGCTTCTGGGGCGGCGTCAACCACTTCAACCCCAACTCCCCGCTGTACGAGGCCAAGGACGCCAAACTCATCCTCCTCTCTGACATCGGCCTCGCCATCACCGCGTCCGTCCTCTACTGGGTCGGCTCCACCTACGGGCTCGCCAACCTCGCCGTGTGGTACATCGTCCCATACATGTGGGTCAACCACTGGATCCGTAAGCCCCCTTAACCATAACCCTGCCCCATGCACCCCCGCTAACTTCCCCCCCCAGTCGCCCTCACCTACCTCCAACACACCGACCCCTCCCTCCCGCACTACCACCCCGGCAGCTGGAACTTCGTCCGCGGCGCCGCCGCCACGATCGACCGCGACTTCGGCTTCATCGACCGCCACCTCTTCCACGGCATCATCGGCACGCACGTGCTGCACCACTACGTCTCCTCCATCCCGTTCTACAACGCCGAGGAGGCGACCGAGGCCATCAAGCCCGTCATGGGCTCCCACTACCGCGCAGACCTCAAGCACGGCCCCCGCGGCTTCCTCATGGCCATGTGGAAGAGCGCGCGCTGGTGCCAGTGGGTCGAGCCGACGGAGGGCGCCGCCGGCGAGGCCGCCGGCGTCATGTTCTTCCGCAACCAGAACGGCCTGGGCGTGCCGCCCGCGAAGCTGCGTGTTGAGTAACCGCAGAACCATATAAAAGTTAGACTCTAAAAAGCAATGTGAATTTTTATTTCGGTGGATGTGATGGCCCGGTGCGTGGTCTTGAGCGTGGGCGTGCGTGACGGTGAAGGCGTTGTTGGTATTGGTGTATGTGCGTGGGTGTGTGTTACGCGGACTCTTGTAATTTTCTTGGCGTAGATTTAGAGACTTGGGGGCGGCTAGATACCTCCATAGACGAGTTTTCCAGCGATAGACGGCGATGCGAGATAGAGATAGATTTGAAGCAATTTACTCTGCCGAAATATGTTGTTCTGTGTTGTTATATCGGTTCGCGTGATCTTGTGCTACCTACCCCCTTTCAAGCCCCTGGAGCATTCTTGGCTGGCCGGTCGAGTTTATCGATGAGGTGTGCTGCGTGCGTCTGTGATTGATTGATTGCATTCGGATCCGCGATATCGGGCATGGTTGCAACCAGTTTGTCCTCCATCACGGAGCCGTGGTTCTGCTGCAAGTCAATCCACGACACCGGCTGCGGCTGCCTCCTGTCGGTGCACACACAATCACTCGTGTTTGTTGGAGTGGGTTGGAATCGAGGTGCATCCAAGCATGACCAAGCGGCAGTTCGCAGAACGATTCGATGCAGTGTGGGGTCGGGGTGGGCCAGGTTGTCTCGTTGGATACATGCAGCGCGCGGGCGCAGGTCGGTGTGGGGTGCGGGGACGGGATCGTGCCGTGATCTGATCATGGTTGGCGGTCCTCGTGGCTGCACTGAGGATGATTCTGACAAGCCGGAATGTGGCGCTCCAGAGTCCTCAACCGTTTCCTGCCGCCATCATGTGCGCTGTAGCTGTACATGTTGCCTGCAGCGAGCTGTAGTACGGCGCCGGGGGGCGTGAGGAGTGCGCGGTCGTGGTGGAAGCAGCGATTGATTGGAAGTGCGGGTCGCAGGGAGCGTTGGAATGGCAGATAGCGGAGGGTGGGATTGGGGATTGGGAGCGAGCTGGGGGCTGAGGTTTGGAGCGTGGAATGGCGTTGAGCGCGGAGGCGCGAGTGGGATTGGGGGAAGGGCAGGTGGTGCTGCGTGAGAGAGGTGGGGGGAGAGATGTGGGGGCGGGAGATGTGGTTGATATAAAAACGAGGCATATACTCGGCCGAGACTCAAAACAACGATGTCGGATGTTACATCCGTACGTCGGGTATGGTGGTCCCGAACATTCGGTACGGCTTTCGATCTCAGATCTGAGGTTCGTATATCGAGATACATTCTATCGCCAGGCCCGGCGCGCTGCGATTCCAGTGCCACAATGGATACACTAAATGCACGTTAACATCGACCATGGCCAATACGTCGCAACAACTCCACCTCAGACAGGGACTACGGTGCCAGGGATTACAGCCTGGCGATGGCATGCTTACATACCGTGGAGGGGACGGGAAGCCGTGTGGTTATCTTTGCATGGCTGTAGCTGGCAGGTCTTCGTACTCTTGGACAGTCGCGGGTGCACTGGATATCACTCGGCAGGCTAAACAAACACGGCAATATGTAGGAGGCCTAGATTCACCTAGAGTTTACACCTAAACACGGCGTATGTTGTTTCACTACTACAAATCGACAGCACTCTCACCACCGCCCGTCCAGGCATCTTTTCGTCATCTTTCTGTTGAACGTGTAATTGTATCTTAAACGTGTTACGTAGAGCAGCGCTAAATTCTCGGAGTTGAAATAGGTAGCTGGAAATATTTCAGGTGTAACAGGTCGTATTTGGATCGGCTTTTTGCGTGCGAAGTTGCAGCTTTCTCATCGGCTGGATCTTGGGGCGCTCTGCAGAAATGCTCTGACGAGCGCCTTGATGAACGATGTTCGACACGGAATAATGGCGAAAGGATATGGCGGGTGATCGCAGTCTTGGTAAAGTTTGTATCTGCAAATGTATAGTTCGCGCGGGAGCGGAGAATTGGCATCGTCTCGGCTCGACATTTCGTCTGGACAGCCTGGGCTTCGCTTGTGTTAAGGGTTCTACACAAATTCACATGTAACGGTATTTCATAGATCTTTATAGCCATGGATTGATACACCAGACAGAACTAATGATTGTCGGTGCGAGTCTTGAATGTTTTGCACGTCGATGGTGCACTACGACCGAGTGGGTGGCGGGTTACGGTTTCGTGTGAAAGCGTATCCGAAAATTCAGATGTCAATAGGGAGGAGATACTTGCCCTTTGATAAATGATTAGTCAACGGAAGCTGCGGGCCAAAGTATTTATCGTTGTGAAGAAAGTTTATCCGTGGTTAGGAGAACGTTAAGCCTGGAATTCGAGATGCTCTGCACATGAACGACACAATACAGAACCGGCCGAAACATCATATATTCACTACGCCACCCTCATCCATCAACAGGCAAGATGGCCGAGCGGTTAAGGCGTTGCACTCAAGTTTCGACTTCTATTCTCAGAATGGTGTATTGCAATGGAGCAATCCGCGGGGGTTCGAATCCCCCTCTTGTCAGCATCTTTTTGCAGTTTTGTCGGAGCTTTCAACTATGTGGAGACGCAGTTGGTCTTTTGCGCGTGATAGCTGGACATACAGGGTGAAGAATCTGCGTGATTTGAATCCACAAGTCTAGGAGATGTGTGTTGTATTGTCAGATGGGTGGATGGCTACTTGTTCCGCACTTTCGAGAGGTGTGGTGCACCGATGCACAGTTTGGTGTTTGACGCCTACTGTGTCTCGTTCAGTACATTGTTTTGCAAAGCACTTGTTAGACTCACGACTCTATGTGAATGAAATCATGTCGCCCCGCAATTTTCTTTGTTTGTGTGTCATAGTCAATGCAGGGCGTTCATGGTAAGGATTGGCGATTTCAATGGAAGGCGACAGTATCCAGATACCCTTATATACTGTACTCTGCTTCTTTGTTTCTAGACCTCTTCTAGTCAAATCTTCCACTTTCTCAAGAGCTCTGTAATCGACAGCGGGCGAGCTAAATATTACTATATGACAGAGACCCAGCTACATTCCGGTAGATTCTAAAGCTTGCCTTCAGTCACTACTATCTTCAGGCGAATGGAGAACGTCAAACACAGTTCCGATATAATCTATCGATACTAGGCTACACTATTGTAGGTACATCGGATCTCGAGTGAGGTTACGTGACTGCAATAACGTCTGCGACAGATCGGCGCGAGTCGTATTCGTACTTTGAGCGGGACAACACCGTTATCCACAATAACCGCTCTGGACATAAGTATATACTTTGTGAAAAAGTACTGTAACTGTGTCCAAACGTTACAGGATGCCGCCGGTATGGTATGTGAGTTGAGATTGTGGGTATGTTTGAACGGCGTAAATGGCGAGACTGGTGCACTTATCTACGGACCGCGTTTGGCGGTAGCCAGCAGCTGTCCATTACAGTTGGTTCCCAGATCAGTAGGGAGCATGCAATCTTCACCAACAGACACGATCATCATTACAGTCATCATGTATCAATTATACATTACACTCTACACGCGTACTACTCATTGCATCAATTCGCTAAAAAGGTATCTCTCTCCTCCCATCTCAATACGTATCATCAACCCCGCCCCTAGAGCCTTGCAAAATCCTCCCTCCCCTAATGCCTCGCCAAGTCCTCGGGCAACGCCCCATAGTACCCCTCCCCCTGCGCATACTGCCGCCTGGGGCCATCAACAGGCGCAATATCATCCGCAATCGCATCTTCATATGCCGGTGGCGGCGGCATATCCCCACCGCCTCCAATCTGCCCTCCCATCCCCGGAGTTCCCGGCGGCGGCCCGAACCCGCCGCCCATAGCTTGCAGGTGGTGTTGGTTACTGCTCTCGTAACTGCTGTGCGGGCGCTCGGCAACGACCGTGGGCGACAGCGGGGCGGTCTTAGCGCTCAGCGGGCCCGCGAATCGTCCATCGGAGCTCCCTGGGCGCGGGATCGACAGCTTCGGAACGTTGAGCGTCTGCGTGCGCTGGGAGGGGACGGGGCGTTTCTTAATGTCACTCCCGGGGCCGTATCCCATTGTTGCGCCTGCGCTGGGTTGGGGGGTTGTGTGTGTCGCCAGGCGGTCGAGGAGCGCCTGCGATGGTGGAATGCCGCTGTAGACGTGCAAAGGTAGGATGAGCATGAGTGTGTCGACATGGTGTTCGTTGCCTCGTGAAACGCCAACATCGACTTGCAACCGGTAGGAGCGGGTTATATTGCAGGTCTCGAAACTCGGCGGGATAGTGTCGGGTAGCGAGCGGTTAGCCCACGGTGTACGATCGAGCTCGATTTCGGCGCCCGCGGGCATATTGGGTGTGCCGAGGGGAATGTGGAGGTCTGCAATACTTAGAATGGAGGTTGTTGTCAACTCGTCTTTGAAAATCTCGTGCGCGATGATGTGAGTTGTTGCGAGTAATGTGATCTGCAGGGAGCGCATGGTGACAACTTCGGGGAAGGGTTCAGTTTTGGTGTACAGGATGCGCAGTGGCAAAGGGTCGTTGGGTACCACGATGGGCGGCGAGGGGAGACGTGCTTCGAGGTAGTAACGGATAGGGATGACGTTTACTCGGTCCTCTGGTGTGGAACGTGAGAAGGAAAATAGTGACTTCTTTGGCGATTTCATGGCGGCGACAGACATGAACTCATGGCGCCGGCGAGCGAATGTCTCTGAGAGCGATGGCGCTGGGCGTGGCGGCTCAATGGGGAGGAAGACGAATGGATCAATCTGGACTCTGGTCAGCTGTCACTCAAAATTACTGTAACCGGGCGTAAGTACTTGTCTCAAGTTTGTCTTGAATAGCTTCGGTCTACACACTCTCAATCAGCAGTCCCTTCCACGATCACATCGAGGATACTTACCGGTTAACCGTCACCTTCAAAAAATACCTTATCCACGCTGCATCTCCCGGAATACCACTAAGACTCGGTGGCAGCGTGCCTTTTTTGTGTCCCTTGGCGCTTCGTGCAAAATCGACGGTACCGTTGTCGAAGCTGAGCTTGTGCAGCAGCCCTCCGGGTCCACTGCTGACGCCCTCCGTGCATGCCGTGTTGGCCGGGATGATGATGCGGAATGGGTACTCGTACTGTCCTGCTTTGAGGGTGTAACTCGCGTTCTGCGCAGCTTGATCACGTATGGCTGCTGGCGGAAAGACAGTTTGGACAAGGTAGAGAATCTGCGCATCGTCCGTTGTCAACGCTGTTCCGCCAAGGAGCTTGGTATTCTTGGTAGTCTTGGTGGGTTTGATGATGAAGTGTTTAGGGAGGAATAGGATCGCAGCCTACCCGGTGCACCTCAACCTCAGCCCTCCTCCTCTCCCTCGGGCGTCCAGGTGGTATGGGCCCCCCCGTCTCCTCAGGTCCAGGTGGCTCGAGTCTCGTGCGCGAGATACCCTCCATCTTGACCGTCACGGAAGATACAGTATCATCAGAAGGTAGGTTCAGCACGACCTGTGCGCGATGATCGTCAGCGATCGTCAAGCTGGAGGAGCTTCGAGGAGGGGCGCTCTTGCCTTGCCGCAGACATGGTCGAAGCAGGTGAAGGTCGTGAGGCGGTTGTCGAGATCGACGCGGATAGACATTTTGCGATGCGACCTGTAGGGCCGCGGTTATAAGGATAGCAAGTATAATGATAGTTTTGATGGTGTTTTCAGAGTGGATGGGGGGAAGAAGGGACAGTGGTAATAGTCGAGATGACGCTGCTGTGCTGTGAGGCTCGGCCTAGCGTGGTCGTAGTGGGGTTGGCGAGTGCTTGAGCCCACTACACAACACTTCGAAACAAATATATGAAACCTCTTGAAACTACGTTGAATATCTACTTACTATATTCATGGCACAGCAAACTTGAAACTTTCTGTCTTTGTTCTTTCTACAATTATCATGCTGTCACTTAATAAGCTGGGCACCATCCCGATGCCCAACGACAGGCCGGGCGTGGCGGAGCCTGCCGGCCTCCCGAACTTTCAACCCCAACCACCCACGGCTGAACCTGTCAGAAATGCACGTCGAAGCGCTGCGCTGCCACTGTGATTCGCGGCCTCGGGGGCACAGCATACTCAGGGTTGGAACGACCAACCTCGCTACCTAAACAGTACGAGGCGCAGTCCAGTGGGTAACGCAATTATGCTTAACAACAGCGTGGAACGACATGATTAACCGAGAATATTTTTGGAATGGCGTGGGGCGGGAGATGTGGTGCAGATTCGTAGAAATAACGGTATCCTACTTACCGAGCGGTGGATTGCGGAAGTGGAGTACAGTTTGCTCTAAATAAATGTATTAGGGTACTATGTTATCCCCATTCGCTTCGGATGATTATGGTTATATTGCTAGTTGTTATATTTTGACTGTAGGTAGAGCATTTGGGTGTTGGCCCGGCCTCATATACTGCTTTTGCAAAGCACAAGCACTTGTATCGGCTCGGGATTTTCTTTAAATCACATAGGGTCACCGACAGGACCACTTGAGCGATTTCATATTGTAATGGTTCCGTCAGCACCGATGTATTAAGGTAGAACGACCCTTGGTTTAGACCAAGACGATGGGTTATTACATGAGCAAACAAAATGGAAGAACTTTGAGTGTTTGCTTCGATGAGTTTTTTTTTACAACTTCAGCCCTCGCAACCGCAATCGTACGGACCGGACGCGTCTCGTCTCGTCATCCGCCAGGCCTAGATGGCGCGATGCTATACAACTGTGCAAGCAGATTCTGCTGTGTCGGAAAATGGGGATTTCCTAAGAATCATGGATGTTTGAACAGCTAAATAAAACGCGTGCGATGAATATATCCGATATCGCAGTTGTGCCTTCGAAGGCACTCACGAAAGAATGGATCGAGTGATTGGAGAACCCCGCAGAATTCAATATCCATAGATAATCCCCGTCTCGCCAATGCATCCTAGAAACCGTTGTAGATCCCTACAAAAATAGGATAGATTCGTGCAGGTGTGCGGGGAAATGCCACCACATGGGCATAGTTGCCACCATTGAGCGCAAACCCGGGGGATGTACCACGTTTTGTGATATAACCTCTATATTGCTGAAGTAACAGTTTGATCATGCCTAATTCGCCGAGGTTGCGTGTGCGTTCGCTGTACTGGGACATAGACGAGGTGAGCTACAGAGATAGGTATTGTACATTGGTCGTCGAGCTGAGTATAATCAGTAGAAAGATCGCAAGGAGCTGGCTACAAATTTCCAAAGTTCTCGTACAACTGTATAATAGCATAAAATGCCGACACAGCACCTTCAGGTCGTAATTTAACTCAACGACCGGAAGTGAATCATGCATAATCACTCAAAGGTCTCCGTGCATGGTTTAGTAAAAGGCGGTGCAGGTCTCGAGTATGAGGTTATTTCTCTTTTTGCCACACCACCGTGTCTTTGGTCAAAATACGGTCATCCAAATCGCCCCCTTCAAATAGTGTGATGCCCATTGATGTCCTCCATCAAGTTCCCCATACTTATCATAGGCATCTTAGTGTAGTGTAGGCCGTTTAACTGCTTTTGCTCCTGGGCATCCTTGAGCGCCTTGTTTCCCGTGAGGAGGATTGTAAAATCATACCGGCGCAAGTTCCTAATAGATTGATTAATAGGAATAAGTGATCAGACACGATCAGACATGAGAGGGAAATGAACTATAGTCATCGGAGGATGGGGTCTACTGCGCTTGAAGCAGCAATATAGAGAAGCCGGTGATCTGAAAAGCAATCTTTAGTGCGGTATAACAGTTTTCTTTAGACATTGTGGGTTGAATATTGCCTAGATAGAGGGAAGAGCTTCATTCTAAGATATCTGTAGGGCGCAGCTCGCGACGTGAGTAGCACTTCAACCACAACTAGTGTACGTCACATAACTTTTTGATTTGACAGGAGTTAAACTGAAAAAAACGTTTCAAGTTTGTGCCTGGACACGAGTTTTAGTTTTCGCCTTGGAACGATTGTTTTCACGTTGAGCTGTGCCCATGTGAACTGAATTGGCCTTGTAGGGTTAGGGTCGATCGGGATCTTTATGGTAAGTTTTTGGATATCACTGACTCAAAAGCGAGTGGATAAAGGTCCTGCCAGACATAGATTTCTATAGATAGATTGTTAAGAAATTCATACGGTAACTGGCATTTTGTTAGTATTCTTGCACACAAATGACAGATTGCTCTGGGATCGAGTGAGTAGATAGTGACGCCTCGTGGCGCCCCGGTCGTGTGCGCCTTTTAAGCTATAAAAGTAGATCAATTCCCTTGCCGCGTTCGGCCGACCATAGGACGCAGCGATCCAAAAACGTATGTCAGTAGTGCGTGTAGTGGGCTAAGTTAATAACTTCTATCTCTGTTACTTGAAAAAATTCTGTTGGGTTTTGGCGGAATCTTGGTTAAGACCAGTCCTTCCAATCGTCCGGTCCGAACTAGACTACGGTCCTGCATATGAAATGATGTTCTACAGACGCGCTCGACTACTCGGCCCCCATTCTACATCAGTATGGCAGTTTAGTCGATTGTACATAGATATGCTACTGAACCACTGTTCACCGCAGTCCCATAGTCTCCATCAAAAATGGACTGGACCGCACTATTGGAAGCGCTAGATAACACTTGAGCTTTATGGGATCTTAGGGTGTCCAACGCACAGGAAAAGCTCTAGTAACCAGCGCTCATGACTCCATGGTCAACGTCACTTTACTGACAATCTACCGCTCGTTTGCGATTGATGTATGTAACGTACGCTTCCACATCATCGCCTCTTTGGTAGTATAGTGGTTAGTATACCCGCCTGTCATATACTGCGCGCGGGTGACCGGGGTTCAATTCCCCGCCAGAGAGTGACATCTTGTGAAGATCTATTTTGTGCCTTCCTCCGCTCCGCCGCAGGTCCATTTTTTTTCAAGACCACTCATAGTACCAGTTACTGTGGTCAATATAAATGTACATATTCTAATAGATCTGCACTATAATTTGGCCGGATGATTTATCCGACAAATGTTCCGTTATCCGTCCATGATCATTTTCTCGCACCCAGCCGAAATGCATTTTGCCTGATCCGGCGATTCCTTATGCGTGTCGGGAATCCCGAGACCACACCGTCAACGTTATCAACTAAGAAACGAGGAAAAATCTGAGACTGTAGTAAAAAATGGGGGGTAAAGGTTATCGTTGGAATAGGGCTTTCCATGCGAATAAACGCCTTCAAATGATATTTGGTATTGCGTCCTTTGAAAATGACGATCAATTTGGAAGCCCGTCAGTCGTCCATCATTCCAGCGCCTTTGGCTCGAGACCGTCATTTGAGCCTCTCGAATTATGTAAGCGTTTTTGGTTCCGTCACATGAGTGTATTCCAGAATTGTGGAAAGATCGTGAGATGTCACCCAGGCGCCCACACGGGGATGAAGAGATCAAAATCAGATCCTGCTCGCGGAACAGCCCCCCCCTACAGGGGACCACTGGACAATAAACTCTCGGGAATCGCATTATTAAATGACTCCCCCGAGCATTTCATAACGGAGATGTGTTAATATCCTGGCGATTCCAGAGCATGAAATGAGTTCTGCTGTTGCAAAGAAAGTAGGGTTGTAGGAGCGGTCAGGGTTAGGGTGAGTTTTGCCTGACCCTTACCGCTGAGCCTGACCCCTACTCCCTACCGCAGACCGTCATTCAATCAGTTGTCAAGCTTCATGACAATTAGATCACCTATACTGATATAATATCAAAGTTTTGAAGTAACCAACAATCTCGAACCTTATCAGAATTATTAGCATCCATACATGATTGCAATGTAGAACATTGTCCGAACGATCAATCTTTTCGAACGCACAATACAACATTCTTACAAGGGTGCACGCTGAACGAACAGATCTACCCCCCCTTTTTTGCTATAAGAGTTGGGCACGAGACAACAATAGTCACGCAAAGACTGACGGCTAGGAACGAGACTCAGCTGTGAACATCCGTGAATATAAAAGATACCAGAGAAATTGAGGCTAAGGACTAGAACCTTAATTGCTGGCTAGGCGAGAAATTACAATATGAACGGACCCACACAAACATCGATATACTCCGCAGTTTCGAGTCAAAACGCAGTAGATGAGTGCAAGATCTGTAGACCGCGGAAAAGTATCGAGTACGATTTCGGTCCACATTTGAGGAGCCAGACAAACTTTAGCGGCCGGCTGGGCACACATTTTCTTTTGGGAGTCAAACAGGAACCTTTTCTGCCAGAGGTGAATTATGAGTCTAGAGGGATATAGGTTCACATCACTTCAGAAAAAGACTGCCAGAGCAAACCGCCTAGTGGGCCTGTCGACATCCAGAGATTTACGGGGAAACTTCCACCAATTTACCTGGTTTATCATGTATGGACATAAGGCTAACTCATATAGCATCCTTGCTGTCCAAATTTGCAATACACGATCGTATCACATTGCAAAAACTGCGTCCCACAGATCACCAACTTTTACTAAAGGAAATACAGCGCTCTGTAGCCGATAGGCGCCTTGGCTTCCATGGCGAATAAAAATCAACCAGCAAGTTTTACGCGCGAATGTACTTAGTTACATGTAGGAACGTTTAGCACCTCTGCGCCTCACGCGTGCGTAAATGTAGGGAAAAGTTAATCACTGTAGGTAATGTCGGAGCGCTCACCGGTGTGGTGGGTTTTTGCCGACTTGACATACAGCGGATGCGCCTAAGTATGCCATATTCGATTGATAGCCGACGGGCAAAGTTCACACATGCACAGGGCTTCTGCCAGGAATCATGTCGCATTTCGCACTGACCCACTCCCAAATTTGCAGGAAGTTACGCGTAGCGCGGTCTAAGAAATATCTACCCAGTACTTTAAACCTCTTAGTGCACGATGTTCGGGGTGAACTCAACTTGGAATTTTATCGCAACCCATATGCATGTAGAGATGTAGAGAACTATTGCGCAAACTCAAGGGGACTTTTAATGTCCCTGGAATACGAAGGAACATGGCTTGCAGAAAGCCCCTCATCTCTTCGGCCAAGATTGACCGGTATGTGATATAACACAGTAGGCGCAGGCGATGAGGTACGGCCGGGCAATCTCGCTAATCTAGACGGGTATGTATCGCGGCAATGCTGAATTTCAAGCCCACGCGCTCGTGGCGTTGGTGTGGGGGTTTAAACGCGGTGATATTTTAGAGCACGGCAGTCAAACCTTTCCAATCAATCGACAGATTCCTATAGCGCTAGACATCAAAACGAATCAAAACTTAGATTTGCAGCTTGTTTTTACGACAGAGTAAGGAGGGGTCCACATTACCATTATGTCACGTGTAAAGCGTATGTTCGTCGAGTTGTTTCTCCAAGCCAGGAGCCACACCACTGAGATTGTAGATAATTAACTGACGGTCGTTGCATTGATAGTCCAATGCAGTCACGTCCAATTATTTCTAGCGACTACTCCACGAGCCTCGGAGTTAGTCTTTTTGGCCCCGCTATACCGCCTCACATCCGAGACTGCGCGGATAGGGGTTCAGTTGTATGTAGAGTGCATACCAGTGGCAATCAAAACATGGGGTGCGGGGACGGATTCGCCCAATACGTCCTGCAGTAATGTCCAAGGCCCATGCTCAAGCCAGCGGCGGTTGGCTAGAGCGAACACAACGCGACAATTGCATAGCGTTACCGTATCTTCCAGACATACGTTTCTTGCTGGGGCATATGCCCAATCAGGCTACTTCTCGAACGCTTTTTGGGAATCATATTGGCTTATGGACGTACTGCATGTGCACTTTTGATCAGAGCGTGCCGCATGTGCACTTTTGATCAGAGGAGATCTTATCTGGACACATGACCTTCGTTCCACAGCAGCGATAATCTACACTTTACTATTAGATATGATTGAGACAAGAGACAACTACCGGACTCAAGAGCGCATACGCATGAGTTCAGAACTGTAGATATGGATCAACAAGCGAACCAATACGAACTCTGTGGTCTTCTCATCACTCATCATTCCGTAAGGTGATATCCTCCGCAGTAGTTCCTTTTTTCTGACAATACTCTTTATGACTTGTCAAATCTTTCTCGCATTGCAAGCAAGCAATCAGGGCTCCGTTCGATGACTATCAAAAGCTGACTTGCGATAATTACTAGTAAATTGCGCCTAGTACTCGGAATCCAAAGAAGTGTGGCCAGTGCTAGAGCTATTAGTACCTGTATTAGATGTCTGTATTTGTCACATTAGGCGCCGTGCTCCCAGTCTCACGCCGGTTTTGGTTGCCGATCATGAGTGTATTCGGGCGATCCGATCGAAACAGTATGTTTCTCTGGCACTGATAATATCGGCATTTTGGAACACATTAAAAGACACCCGTCTCATATGTCCGGGCCGATATACTACTAATGATAAGGTATACAACTCACAATATAGCTTTAAAATTGAATCGATATTTCTATCAATGATGAAAAGACGATTCATGCACGCTATCATAGCCGTCGGCGACCCGACCTGCGATACCGGCATCCCTTGGAAGTGTACTTGAGTATTTTATCATCCCACGTCGGACAATCAAGAAGTCTATCGGCAATGCAATGTAGCATCGGTGTTGCATTTCCTACCCGAGATAATATATATAACAGTAAATAGTACGAGGCCGACACCCGATTCCTTTGAACCATATGTAAACGCCGAACCCTCATATTTTCGGCTAGAGATCTCGATCAAAATCCCACTAAATTCGTCATGAATAGCGACGTCACTGCGGAGGAATTTGTTGCGTCTTCGGAGTCTTTGTTGGTGGCTGGCCCGCGCATCCCAGCCGATGAGCCGTCGAGGCATAGCGTTGCCCAGCGCACGCGGGACGGGCGCGGATTTACCAGAAAGGCTGGCTCCCGATCCCGAATTGTCGGAATCCAACACTCTGTAGCAACGACATCATTGCGCAAGCCCCATGTAGTCCGATTAGATGTTTTGCAGCGTTGGAACTGCAAAAAATCCAAGACCAAAACTGTGCGTGCATCTCGGGCTGAGCCGAGTCCAATTCCATGGCTGCCGAGCCCGTGTGCTCGGGTTCAGGCCACCCTCCCGTGCCGTCTGCAGACGCTCACAAAATAACCTCCTTAACATTTTCTAGGTGGATACCACGAGGATAATGTGGCTAATCCTGCAATCCTGCATTTCGAAGGAGTTCTAGCTTCTGTGCTGTCCAACGCCTCAAACGCCCACAACGCCATCGGATAGTCCTGCGTCTAACTAACGTCCATGTCCCTGGACCCGCCGATATCGTTCCATTGTTTTGGAGAGAAAAAAAACTTAAAGCTTTATTTTATCTGCAACTTACTCGCCACGCGGTTTTTTCCTAACGTTCACCTAGCCGAGCTGCCAGCCTGCATATTTGGCGGGCTTTCTTTGAGAAATTGTGGATGCGGTCTGAAAGGCACAAGAAAGTCCCAACAACCATTTGGGAATTCTGATGCGCAGAATTTTCTTTCAACAACCTGAGCCCAAGCATCTAGGCTGCGCACCTTCATGTGGATCTTTCTTGAACCACTGTTGTTCCAGGCCTTCGCAATAGACGCCGACATGCGATGTTTCGAGGAAGCATCGCCTGATCCCGCAATATCACCGGAAGGCTTTGCAGACCAACCAATCAACTAATTCAGTCCCCCACCAGTGCTCAGATCGAGCATCCATATCAAGGGTGTGAGACAGAACTGCGAGTTGCTAAGTGCACTTTTCTCGACCCCACGAGTTTGTGAAAAGAAGTCACCAATTGAGTAGCGACTGAGATATGCACCTATCTAGGTATACAAGAGTCACTTGAGCGGGGGTTGAGCCTTTTACACAATCTAGAGGATT